ATTTGCAGGGTGAAGGCTGTTATATCTGGCTTTTATCTCCCCCCCCCCCAAGACTCAATTTCTTTGTCTTTTCTTTTTAAAACAAAGTTGAAATCATCACAAATATTCAAAAAGTCTTCGTTGCACCTCCCAAACCTACTCTATAATAATGAATAAACATGTAAATACACAGAAGCACAAAATGTCTTGCAAAACACAGAGTCCACTGGAAAAAAATACTCCTAATTAAGTACTTCCTAAAAATTCCCAAAGTACACAACATAAAATATATACCATATAGTTAATATAGTGTACTTATATAATATGTTAGTATCACATGTTATTGTGGTCAACAATACTGATCTGACAGCCATCTTTCTAACTGAGAGGAGCAGCAAATTCTCTTTGTCTGTTTCTACCTTGAAAAAAAAAAATAAAAATCCCCTCTCAAGTTAAAACATTATAATACCCACTGTCTTTTTGTTTAAGTGCAGAATGATTCCAGGAAGCTCAAGCACATCTTCCAACGTTTGTAAAACTTTATGAAGGAGTGGTTCTTTGCCAGCCAAAGTCAAACCCTGGGAAGCTTCTTCCATCATTCATCAGTTGAGATTCTGACATCCAAAGTTCTGAGCTGACTGTGGCAGCAGGTGAAAAGATCTACCAAGCTCCCAAGGGGAGATTTCTTCTGGCTGCTGTTTAGAAGCACCAAATTGCCAACCTAACTGCTAAAATACCTTCGAAAGTAGTTTCTGAAGGATGAGTCTGAAACAAGGACAGAAGTAGCAGTCACCAGCTTCTATCTCACCAAGCAAATGGCACACCAGCAGGGTAAGAAGGAAAGCTGGCATAGAAACGTGAGGGCAACAACACAAGGGAAAAAAGCCCTTAAATCACATGGGTTTTTATAAAAAAGGAACTTCTGATACGCTCAAGACAAGTGAATCTACACTTGTAATCTGCCAAGGCGAACTCAAAGCAATCCTTAAGGTCACTAAACCAAGCACTCCCAGAGCACTAAGTGACAGAACAAAGAACCAACCATGCAACCTTCAGCTTGGCCCACTTAATAAGCACTAAATACAGTCTATAATTAACTACACGTTCATACGCTGATCCTCCTTCGGAAATCCCATTTAATTCAACGCAAACATAGATTCTGCTCAGGGAATGATTCAGAATTCGTAGTGAATGAGACTCTTGTTTCTAAGACCTGGCCAGCCTCAAAGAACTACTACAATATAAATATTTGATAATAACAAAAGCATGCAACTCGTTGCCAAGCACAGATGTTAGAAAGTGACTGCAAATCTTGGCATTTGGTGGCACCTAGTAATCCACTGGCTGAGTCACTAATGTGATTGATGGCCTTAAGTTGTTCAGGAACTACTGGCCCCTCTGAGAACTAAGACCTGCAAACTGCACCATATTTTTTGTACAAGTGCTTTTCCCTACACAACCAGTAAATGTTTGATTTTATTCTTACAGGTTTAAAAAAAGGTACGTGGCTCTGCTGCTTGGGAAACCTCTTTACCTGGGAGGAACTGATGCAACTGGCCCTTCTGCACTTTGTGCACATTTTGTTTCGATACTCTACTTTTGGTGACGATGTTATGGTTGGGAAAAGCGCAACTAAAAGATAAACTCCTCTTGCAAACAGATTTTTTTTTTAACTAATCTGGTCCCGAGGAGCCTTATGTCTTGTTCTGACTAAGGGAACAACTAATTCATAAACTGTGTTGCCCAGAGAAGTCCTCAGCTTTCCGTTCATCTCCTATGTCATTAACAATCCCCACCTGATCATCCTGCCCTTTACAAGATAAAAAACTTCCTAAAGACGAGCACAGGCACCAGAAAGGAAGCATATTCCATCTCAGTATTCTCCTTTCCAACAAGACTGTTCAGAACCAGGCATTTCCACGAAGCATTTATCTTTAAAACTGGCCAACCCCTTTCCAGGCGAGATTCCTGTCCACTCCAGCCTCCCTCATGATACAGCAAGGCATCCATCAGACATACAGTTCCCACAGAAAACACTTTGCAAGAGCTTCTGGTAGATTTTTCTTTCCAAAGTGAACAAATCTGGTTCCATCACCGTTTCCATGAACTCAAGGAGAACCAGTGAACAGAACCATTACATTCCTGTCACCACAGCAGACTGTACTATACCTGAGTAACATGCCCTGGGCATCTGCAGGGTAGAGAACGCTAAAGCAGCAATGCATGAATAAAAACTAAAGCTGCAAAGGCAAAAGGACACATAACTACTTAATTATATCAAACATTTTCCTCTGTATGTCTTTTAAAATGCAAGTCAGAGCACTTAAGCTTTAAGGCAGATCTACCTTTGTAGAAAATGTTAGTCTTCCAGGTCATTAGCTACAACAACATCAACTGGCACAGCCAGGAACAGATTTTGAGCAAATGAAAGATTAAGAGGAAAAAAAAAAAAAAATCTGAAGAAAACTTAATTGTTGCCCTCAGTGCTCCAAGTCACACAAGATTCTCACATGCTGTCAATTAAGTGAACCCTATAAAGTTATGATCTATGGCAAAATTCCACCAGAACGGTTATATCAGAACAACAGATGTAATTAAATTATTTCTACCAACAAAGTCATCGGTGCAGAACATATCACTCCTTTCAACTCTAAGTAACTTTTTTTAACCAGAAAGTGCTTCTATGATGGTACCACCTTGACTGAGTAACAGGAAGCATTTTTTTTACCACTAAGTTCCACTGAATTCAGCCTGAACTTCGAAAACGTAGTTGGTACCCCGAACACACAAGCTGAACTTGTGGAAGGGCAGCAAAAGTCCCCTAGACTGTCACCCATTTTTCTTTCAAAATGGATTTAGTGCGTTTTATGGTATTTTCAGCTATTTTCTATCTTCCTCAGTATCAAAAAAAAAATAAAATAAAAATCATAGGATAATTCAAGTTGGAAGTGAACTCTGTAGGTCACCAGGTCTATTATCAAAGCAGGGCCAGTTTTAATTACACAGAAGAAACAAATACACAACAACCAAAAGAAAAACAAACAAACTAACAAAAAGCTAACCAAAAACCAACAAAGGACTATTGCAGTTAAAAAAAGGTGATTTCACCTACGCACAGTACTTGCTTTCTTTGTTCCTAAGTCGCTTCCTAATACTTATTTTAATCATGCTGATTATTTTACAGGTCTTTCTAGAAGCTAACTGTAGGGCTTTGAAAAGTAAACATGCACATTTAGGGTGCTAAAAAAACATATTTTTTTAAGTAGTCAACGAAACAGATCTTTTATCTGGAGAGTTTTTATCATGGGGAAGGTTTTAAGAAAATAAATCAGGGTTCTGGAAGCCCTCTAGCAGGTAAAAACTTCACTTGGCCTCATACTGTAACTATAAGAAGGAGCAGGCCATGTCTTGGAGAGCTGAAATCAAGTAGGTAAGTCAGTAAAGGATGTAACAGAGGCATCAGGGGAAGGAAGACTCAACGGGAGTTGCTAAAAAGCAACAAAGAAAAGGGCAGTGCATGCAGGAGGAGTACAAAGAGTGAGACTGAAGCAGTGGTTTGGACACAGCACAGGTGGATACACCAGCAGTGTGTGGACAGTGAATGGGCATGTTCAATAAGCTGGGCATTACAAAATACACAAAACAGCCTGGAAAAAAACAACTTAAAAACTTAACCCCCCCCCATTTTTCCCTCACCAACACCAAGACATCCACTCAAAGGTTACTTACCCGCTCCCCAATTTCAGACTAATCTCTTTGCTTTGAACTTCTACATGTATAAATTTAAGATAATGTATCATCTCATCCCACAGTGCTGTACAGGTACATGCACTAGTGTCTCTGTATCACAAGGATGGCCCAGCACAGAAAATTCAATAAAGAAAACTGGTAACTCTGCAACCAGCATGGGTTCCAGACAGCACACAACAAAAAAATGCATAAAAGGAAGTATTTTAAATGAGAGTAGAAAAAAAAAAACAACTATTCATGCAGTCAACACCATCCTCCCCACCCACTGAAGGAGACACAGAGCCTTTAGGGGGAAATAAATAAATAAATAATCAATATTCCTTCCTTCTCATATGTGTTCTTCTACCTTTTTCCCCATATATTACCATAAATGAGCTTATGTATCCAGCTGCCTGGAGACTTTCTCACCTTCTGCAAACAGCAGTTCCTGACACACTTATGAGGCTTTTATTCCTTAATGGAAGCTCCCAAGCCGTTCAGCAAGGCTAAACTCAAAATGTTACACCCTTTTAAGTACAACGAAACTTTCAAAACATTAAGGATGGGGTTTACATTAACACGACACATTGTGCAGGGCACGGATGCCCGAGTCATTCAAAGCCACTAGATTGCTGCTGCGCCTTTTGAAGGGGCAGTAGATTTTTAGCAACCTTTTTGCTCCCAACCCCAAAGTTACGGCAGGGCTGCTGACCTCAGAAACAGGGTCGCTACTGACCCCTAGTGTTAACAAGGTCAGTCTCGATCTGAGCTCTGGCAAAAAAGCATCAGGAGTGTCACCATCCTTCAAGCACCGCGGTGCTCTTCTGACACAGCAAGTGGTCCCTGCCTTGTGCTGGGGGTCCTTTCCACTCCAGTTCACAAGCAAAAATAGCAGAATGCATCTTTAAAGAAACAAGAGGAAAGGAAATATAAACTCCTAAGCATCCCAGCAAACTGCAGATTTCGCGTTCCTTCTGCTTTCCGACGTTTAATACGTTTTTCATTTGCAAGATTAACAGTAGGGTATCTAGAGCAGACTGACAAGTCATGGCTCCAGGTGAGTATTTATAGCCTCTTGATCACTTATTAAGGAATTAATGACAGTGATCCACAATCCAAGCTGGCCTGCAAAGCCCAGTGCAAGGAAAGGAGTCGTCATTGCCAGGTTGCTGCAGGACTTGGCTGCCCCAGGTGTAGAGCCCAGTGAGTTGGCTGCCCAGGTGACATAAAAGTTGCTTACAACAAAAAGCTGTAACTACAGAAATGAAGAAGAGTCCTACTGTTCTACTTACAATTTTGAATCCAGGTTCAGGAGAAAGCCCAGCTTGTCATATTCTGTAAAACAAAAGCAAGGGACACGTTACCAAAAACACTGCTAGTGTCTCCCCTGTAAAAGGCATCAAAACCAAAAAGTTGCGAGTCCTCGTGGAAGGGTAATAATTATTTCTAACTGAAAATAGCTATATCGTAATTTCTAGTCACTAGCAACTGTTAATACAGATTATTGTTACTTCCAGGTTTTCCCAAATTAACATTTCTGATCCTCCAGGAAATAATAAAGCAAGAGAACACATGGGTAATCATTAATTTAGAAATCACTAGAATTAATCAAGCTATGTGTAGCCATAAAAACAAAGCATAACTGAAAACGCTCGCGCAGTGACAAACGAAGCTCTTCTGCTTGCTGTACAAATAATTTTGCCATTAATTTGTATGACAAACACTCCTCCTAAGTTCTGACGTGGTAGAGCTTTCAAATTTTTCTTCATTCCTCATCTATTCCAACGCACAACTTCATAATCAAGTAGCCCTTCTTCAAGAGTAAGTGACTCATGGTGGCAGAAATGCTTCAAGTTCAGATGTTTTTCAATAGGAAACTGCAAAATGAGTTGATGCTACAAACAGGGGACAGCTACAGAAACAAAGTTATCACTCGTAACACCCTTAACTATATAATGTGAGCTTTGCATTCATTGCACCTTTGAATATATTGTGATCTTGTAAATCAAACACTTGACACAAAAAACAGAGATACTAGAATTCATGTGAGATACACAAGAAAAAGATGTAGTGTCCTTCTTGCACTGGGTTAAGCTCAGTGTCCTTCTCGCACTGAGAACCACTGGGTCTCACTACACACAATGAAAAAATAATACAGAGAAGCAAAAGATAATCCAGTCAGGTTGTATTAAAAGAAATGGCAAGACAAAAAATTCTCATAAGCTTTTAGAGTTCATTGGAAATACAGAAGATTGCTCTCTCCACAAGACCTCCCCCTCCCCCAGAATTTCTGCTGCAGTGGTTTTACCTCAGAAGATCACCAGCTTTTCACATCATCACTTACCAGCAGAGCAGGAAAACCTAAACCAAAGCACCTAAGACAAAACGATTGCACCCAGACAGGTCAACGTAAACTGTGCCACTGGTTTCAGTCCCATTCAGATTTAATTCCTGAGGGAAGTGTTATATTTGACACAACTTAGGTAACAGAAGCTGCTGAACACATTGGTACAAACTGTCTGTTCTCTGCCAGCACCCGTGTGCCACCCACCATCCCCGCTGTACTTGACGTTAGAAAAGCACCTGTGCTCCTCTCCTCCACCTTCCACATGCTGACAGTCCTGTTTCCCTCGTGTGCTGCTTTTGTCATAACTTCCTCCCACTTTATTCCTCCCACAAGAAATTATGTCTTGTCCAACCTTACCTCCTCCACGTGTAGGATTGTGCATAGGAAGGTATCCATTCCAAGAAAAAGAAACATGCCTTCAATTTTTATTAACCCTCCTGACTCCCAAAAACAACATCCATACTGAGCCAACAGCAAAAGAGATCTTGATGATTTTTTTTTTAATCATTTTTTTTTTTTAAAACATCTACAGCCACTGACCCGCCTGTCACCAGTCTTATCCCATTCAGGCCAACATTCCCTTCTTCCCAACAGGAAATACAAAAAGAGGAAATGCAGTCAGAGATTATATCACCTCATAACTACAACAACATCCTGGGCTTTCTACTAACTCAGCACTTCATGAGCTTTGCAACCAGAGCACCAAAACACACACACGTGCTGAACTCTAAGCACCACATATGACAGACTCCACTGCAATGTTTCACAAGATTTACCTTCTGTTTCTCTCGCATGTTTTACCTTCCCTAGGTTTAAAGTTTTGGTGTTCCCTGATTGTTACTGACAGAGGCATAAAGCAATCTTATCAAATTATATGTCAGCCCCCTTGCAATGGGCACCTTCCAAGAAATGCATGAACTACAACAAAACAAAATAACACCTCCAGTTTCAAGCCAGAAGCACAGGTGTGTTCCTGCTTTTCAGTAGGGTGTAAATTATCCTTTCAGGCTGTAACATCAAACCAGAAGCCACTAGGGTCCTTCCTCTCACTGGATGGTGAGACGTGCAAGCTACTGTAGGCAGAGAAATGCTGCCCTCACCACAGGTCACCTCACACTCACTGGCACTTCTGGAAGTCAGCACTACTATTACCTTGGAAATTAATCTCTATCACACGCTGCTCCCCCAGGAAAGACACTAGGACTCTCTAAAATTACAGATTCAAAGTTACCTTCCTTTTCAGCAAAAATCAGTCTTGTTACAGACCTCCAGCGTCATTTGGTTGTATCGCTACGAATACAGGGGCCAAAATTCAGCTCACATTCCAGCTGTAAGTGGCCTGGATTCACAAAGGACAGATAAAGCCCCAAATATCTGGAGAAAGCCAAACACACATAGCCCAGCTGCAGGCAAAGGCAATCCTTGTCTGGAGTTATGTATTTAAATTAAAACAGGATGAAACACAGACCCACTAAACTGAAGTACGACTGAATCTAAAACACAGTTTGGTCAGGGTGTGATGATGATAGTAGAGGGGCCAAACACATAACTCATGGCTTGAGAAAGGGGCAGACCCACTCCTACCCCCCCAAAAAAATGAGTAAAGGTAATAAAGAACTTAGTTTGCATCCACTGGAATACCATCATGGAACATTCTGATCAAGGCTTTACGTTATTATCAGCCCACAAAAGACTGAAAGGCCCATGAGAAATAAAAGCAACATTATTAAAAGAGCACAAGGCACGCTAAGGACCACATTTACCTGTGCTAGGAGGCTACAGATCTCAGCTGCCAGTGTGGTACAGCACTGTACAGAAGCACAGAAAGGAGTGAACATGGGAAATGAAGCTTCATCGTGCCCCATAAGAACAAGAGGTCATCTGAGGTCAGCAATAAAATGCATTTCTACGTTTCCAGGAAGAAACAGAATTGAATAAGAGACTAACAACTGACAACAACTTCATAATGAAGCATGTAATTGGGATTATATGAACAGAAGAACAGCCAAGCATAGCAATTTCTACAAATGATGCAAATCCTGTGCCCCAATTCAATGTTAGCATTAGCATGGGAATTTCTCCCAGGTATCCAACAGAAATCCAACTACCAGGCCACAAGTTAGAAATGCATTGTCTGATGTCTGTAAACTCCATGCAGACCACCCAGGAAGCCATAAAGCACCGTGTACAGTGTCTAGCAAGTTTTCAAACTGCCTTTTGCATCTGTAGCCAATATAGCTATGTAGAAGCAAAATGGGCAAAACTTTCCCCTTATGCTACTAATCTGAAACCAACAATCCAGGAATTAACTTGGCTCACTGGTTTTATCCTTTCAAACTACCCATAACCAATTTCACTGATGACTTGATACTATTCCTTTTAGAAGACAGCTACTTAAAACAGTACAAATAACTTTGTCCACAGAAATAGAGAACTCATATTTTTTAAAGACAGGCTACATGCACTTCTAGTTCTGTGTTTATCTGGTAACTGCAAGCAAAGGAGGGAAGGCAGACGGTTCAATTTTAGCAATTTTATTCAAAATGTTTGTGTTTGTCAAAGAAATCAGGATGATTTTCAAGAGACAGAAGCCCTACCAAGAAAAGCTCAGACCACCCTGACACATTTCATCCTGTCCAGTGGATTTGGTCTCTGCAGAACTGAGGCTCCAGCTGGACTAAGCCTTGGTCACTGTCCACATCTGTGGCAAAGATCACAGGTAAAATTATTTACTCTGCAATGAAAAAAGGTCAAATGCACCCCCATTCACCTCGGTCTAAGAAAACACATGTGGACAGTTATAAAAGTTCAGATGATGCAAAGCAATTCTGCTAGAACTCGAGAGACAAGAAAGAATTAATTAAAAAAAAAAAAAAAGTCACGTTAAATGGATCAACTGAAAAGGACAAAAGAAACCTTTTATTCCAGGGTTAAAAAAATACCACTCAGGATTACTGAGGAGCAATCACAGTACTGGATAAACAAAGACTTAATGTTGCATCCTTTCCTAAGGATTTTCACTTTAACCTCTTCAGTGATGGAATTTACTGATGGAAGCGTTATCTTCTGAGGCTGTTGAAATAACTGGGGAATAATAAAATAGACTGCAAAGCCAAGTTCATAATTAGCAAAGCTGAGGCCACCTGGGCTCCTCAGCACAGTCCTGCACAGATCATACGCATGTCTGCGTTCCAGTTTCCTCCTCACCCTCATTTTCTCTTTAGCATACACTCTTAACAACCTCTTTCCCCAGGTTGGCCAAGTGACATCAAGGAGAACACCAAGAAAACAGGCAAGACAAAGCCCAGTCCTTGGTGCCTTTCCCTGCTCCATAAAAATACACAGAAGCAGCAGAACTGACACCTGTAAAGCTCGGTGCTTGGCCCTCGCTGCCCAGCACTAGATGTGTACCCCATCAATCTATGTCTGTGTAGAACCATCTCCACATCTGACATTTCCACCACGTGTGGAAAAAAATTGAATTCTCCAAAAACTTTTAACGTAGCTTCACTTAGGCTTCCTTGTTGTTTGTGGGTTTTTTTGGGTTTTTTTGGTTTTTTTTTTTTTTTCCCCAGGGGAACAAAAGGGTTTGCTAAACTACTCTTTAGAGTAGACTGCAAACTGTCTGAAGACATCAATCCTGCTGCACCAAGCTCAATATTCATTTTCCAAGTACTGCACCTGCTGAAAAACAGCCATATTTAGTGGAAATCGATACACCAAGCACTGTCAGCACAGCTGAAATACAAACCTGTGAGTTCAAAGCAGGGTAGGAAGAAACGTGTCTTCAGACACAAAGCCCTGCGTGCCCTGCTGACACCTAAAATCATGAGCATACTAAATGTTTCTGATTTAGCAGCAAAAGGAAGTAATTTCTAGCTCTATATCTTCAAGGTGGTCTGGTTTGTTTTTTTGTTTTTCCCCTGGAATTCCTGCCTGGGGCCTCCAAAGTCATCTGGCCCAGCTTTACAGCCTGAGCAGTCACTTGCTGGTAGGGCTGTATGGGGTCATCCATCAGGAAGGTCTTTTGCCTGCTTGTCTTACCTCCAAAATAGGTACAGTAAACCAAAGAAGAGGTCATTCTGGGATGTTACATTTTAAAAGGCCCTGGCTACCTTAACAAGGGACTATATATCTCCCTACAACTGGTTTTCCTACTAGAACTGTAGCAACCTCCAAAGGTAGCAAAGCAACTGACTGCTGTAAGTTGCATTTCGGAAGGATTCCAATAGGAAGACGAAACATTTCCTCCTATGAACTGCATATGCCCTTTTGCTTTTCCCAGAGAGTCATCTGTTTCAAGCCAGATTGCAACCTTTGCTAAACAGTTGTTTCATTTACTACCACGAATCCACTTGGCCCATGGAGTTAATGCTGCCCTATTGAGCCTTCCAACATACTCTTTATTCCATAAATTGTATCGTATTTCCTAATAAAAGTCAAGAACAATATTAACAAAGCAATAACCTACACTGGTTTTTAGTGACTTACAGGATGTATTGACTCGATGCAGAGAAGATGCCACACGAGAGAGAAAAATCGCATTGAAATACTTCTAATTTGACGTATTCTTAAAGCAGCTTCTTGGCATTTGCACCTCAACTCATTCACAGCTGTATTTTCAATTGGTGGAACAGAGCACTAATAAGAAGACAGATGATACTGAACATGCTGGCAAAGCCACATAAGGACTATGCAACTGCTTCATGACAGTCACTGGCAGAGATTCAAGCAGCTCCCACAGTCTAGAGCTCAAAGAAATAAAGAATGAAGCAGAACTTCATTAATCAAAAATGAAAGGGGAAAAGGATTTTTGCAGAATAAAGCCAGTAAAACCAGCAGAGAAAATATGTAATATTTCCCATTTATTTTCTGCTTTACAGGAATGCAGGAAAGTGCAGCACAGTAATTTCATCTCTCCTTTCCCATCATTATCATGTAACCTTAAGACAGTTAGAAATGCAATTTAGGAGGGAAAAAACCCCACAAAATATTAGAGCCACACCAGCTCCAAACAGAAATTTAAGTTGCCTTTCTCAAATCAAGAACACTGACCTCACAACTCCTACTAATTAACATAATATCTAAATTAATTACCACTAACCTGGAAATCTGGGAAATACCAGAGTTTGTAATTGTAGCCACCTGTACTATCAGAGTCTCCTTGAGAAAGCAAATGAACAATGAGGAATCTTCTGCAAGTCACTGTTTTTCTCATACACTAGGACTCTACCACCACTCTATCAATTTGATACCTCGTGGTTTCAGTTGTGTTTTTATTCCTGGCCTCCATCCATACCACTCTCCATCCAAAACGTAGGCAAGTAGTCACCAAATTCACTCTGGAGTTGTACTTGGGAGGACAGACACAGGGTTATTCTCATCCTTCACAAAATGGTTATCTGAGCATCTTCAGCAGCTGAACAAAACAGAGAAAGTTTCCTTCATAGTTCTCACAGCTTCTCCCAGAATGGTTAAGGACTTTGGCATAAGGAACAGCAAACTCCGAAGAAAGCGCAGATTTAAATTCTCAGGTGATTACTCCATTGTCATTGTGAACTCAGCATCTGGAAACACGTGGGTTTTCACAGGCACACGAGTTGCAGCAGATATGCTACTCTAAACCAAAGTGTAAAGATCCATTTTCTCTGCATAAACCAAACTTTTGATAAGGGTTATTATTTAAATTGAACAGGAAAAAAGCAACAACAGTGGAAGAGTTAATATATTTGAACAACTTGAACAAGACCTAGATCACACTTGGCTGCCTGTGATGTTAGCACTAGCATGTTTTAAGCCTGCAGTGAGAACATCTGCTTTGAACCAGTGGTCAGTACTGCAATCAAACATGTCTAACAACAGCATAAGCCTACAGCTGTAAGGTATTCAGAACCTCAGCATTTCCAGCAAGCACAGTAGCATATGGGAAAGTTGCACTTTCAGTGCACTCCCACCCTATGAGGCTTAGAGAAGAAAAATTTAACTTGCTCTCAGACACAGGAGGTAGGAAAAAAAAAAGTCTTGAACAAAAATAGCAGGGATATAAATCCGACTTTCAAGGTCCAAAGTTTGATTTGGTAGCAACGAAATAAAACAAAGCAACCAGAGAGGGAAGAAAAAAATAAAAGGAGCACTAGCTGTCTATGGCAAGTGAAGGGGGCTCCTCAAACACAGTGTGCCCTGATTAACGTTTTCCCAAGTTCAGAGCACGACACCCTCCTTCAGCTGAAACACTGGCCTAGACATCACATGAAACACTTGTCTCTGCTGCTCAAGCTTTATCTTTCAAGGGAACGGACAGCCGTGAAGAGAATCACAAAAACATCTGGGCTTGTGAAGGCTGGACCATGGCATGAACCTCACGGTTCAGCCTCACTCCAAGCGCATTTGGCTTGCACGTCCTCTACTCTGATAATCCCCTGTGAAGCAGGACATGAACGCTCCAGAGCCAAATGAACTTCTGAGCACTCGGTTCAGAAAGTTTATGCAGAACAACCCAGAGAGTGTCATTAATCTGAGTTGCATAAGGACAGATTTTCAGCATCCCTGAAAACCGAGATTTGCATGTGGGACAAAGTTAAGGGGAAAGCCAAGATAAGGACAAACAGTCAATTCAAGTAAGATACAGAAGCTGCAACAAAACATTGCCCTTCAGACGGCATGATTAGCAAGTACCAAAGAGCAATACTAAAAAGCTCTTTAATATGCAAATATAAGTCCACAAGTACCACTTTTAAGCAGCATGAAATCTTAACATGGAGACTATTATGCTCAGCTGTTTAATTTTGACTAATAAAGAAAAAGGTATATGTTGTTTTATGCTTCAAAGTATGCAATCTTAGTCCCTTCTTACCCCAACCTGAAACATCACCTACTGGGAATGGCTGGGCCTGGAGCTGCCACTGTTTCTGTGGGTTCTTTCTGGGCTCTGTCTTTTCCTGGGTCTGCAGCAAGGTGAGATGGGCTGGACAGCGGGAGCACAATAGCCACAGTTTTTCTCTCTCTCCTTCCTGTTCAACAAGGAAAGCTATCCCTCAGTTGGACAGACATCACACATAATGCAAAGCATACTAAACATGAAAGCAATAATCATACAGCTCTTCTGGAAATTTCTGAGCCTCCCTTCTCAAATATATGAGTTTTCTTCACATTCCTTTAATGAATAAATTCAGTCTTGTCGCAAAGGGTTTACAAAAGATGTCTTAACTCCTAACCAATCCAAGCTTGAGTTGCAAAATACAAGCAGAACAACGATCAGTGCTTTTAAAAGAGATCCAGACAGTCCAATGGCTTATCTCCCACCCTCCATACTAACAGAACTCCGAAGACACAGAGCAGTTGAACTGTTTTTCATAACTAAGTTCACTTCCCTATTGGTGGTATCTTAACACAACATTTATGGTTAACTCCACAGATACCCTTCCCTGAATTTTTACTCACAGATTTTGTACCTCAAACCTATGCAACTTCCTCCCTACTTTTGCAGACTAAAGAAACCATCGTCCAATACCGAAGGAGGCAGGCACGCTTCAGTTAGGACACATTAATTAGTAAAACAGAATTAACAGAGGGTGTCTTCCCGCCATAAACACAACAACATATCCACTTTGCACCCTAGAGATATTCCCACATCAGACCATGCACCCAGAATAGATCTATTTCCAGATATAAGTTTTAGAGGAGATACAGGGAGAGTAGAAAACATTTGGGGTGTTTTAAACAAAGTAAGTTATTTCCACTAGCTCTGGGGTTAGTAAATCAGAAATGTGTTCAAGCTTTGCTGTTAGTGTCAGGCAGCAGGCTCTCTTTCAAACTGTGCAGGCAAAAGACAGGTGCTATGTTGGAAGGCAGCATGTTTCCCCTATCAATCTAAGAGGGAAAGGCTGGCAAGCAAGATAAAATAAAAAATAACCCAAGGAAAGGTTTTGCCTTTTCTGCAAGATGGTAAATACCCCCATCTTTTAAGTGTTTGGGGGTTTTATGTTAAAAGAGCAATTCTTAGGCTTTCCCTTGCACTTCATATATCATTATACATACACTGTAAACTGAATTTCATTAAGTATCGTGCTCACCATGGTGTGCCTTGGCTGCAGCTTGAGCATTACACACAGCCCAATGGATAGTCATTGATTTAATGAAATGGCCTGAACACAAAAGAATTTCTGATCTCTGGTTCAGTTTAACTGAGGGTCATGCTCAGGTTCCAAAGGAAATTAGATCGGGAAGGATTTGCCCTGGGGTTTGATAATGCTGGTCAACCTTCACCCCCCCAAAAAAAAAGTTTCTAGCCCTATTTGTTTAGTTACGACTCTTCCGCCTTCTCCTTCCTGGAAGCGTTCCTGACGTCTTTCCCCAAATAACTCAACCATTTGTTTAGCTGAGAAGAAACTCTCCTAGTAGCACGGGACAGTTTTTCCTCAGCTGGCGAGTGACATCACCCTAATGCCTTTCACATGAGAAGAGAAGCGCAAACTGCATCACCATCGATGTGACGTGCTCAGGTCACCCGCCCTGCTGGGGAACGAGCGGAGTCCCGCACGTTAATCCTCGCGTCACGCTACAGCTGAATCCTTCCACTACACTCAGGAGAGGACCTATTTCCCCACTTTGGCTCGATTCCCACAAAACTCTGACTCAGTGGCCTGCCTCCCAACATGGCTACCATGTCCAGTTAAGTAGAAGCCTTGTCATGAGGTGGGAGATAGAGAAGAACACAGCGTTGTACCTGAGCCTATCGTGTGTCCAACGGAGTCAAAGGAAAGAACCACTGAATCTGTAACACAAGAGTACAAGTTCATTTTCCTCTTTTTTTTTTTTCCCCCAGCACCATTTCCTGCTGTAACATTTTTTTTGTCATTTTGCTTAAGCAATTCCTCGTGCTCCCTTCCACCAGGAAGCAGAGCAACTTCTTCACCAACCAGACAAAACAACAGGAATCTAGCAAAGGCAGAACAGCGGAGTATGCAGTACCATTACCCAATGGAGTACCTACAATTCATTGAAAATAATTTTATTTTATGACTAATAAGATTGGTTGACCTTACCAAAACTGGATCATAACACGCTTTGACTGGTGGACTAGAGAGTTTTTTTCTCATCAAATGTATTACCAATACTTTGTCCCCAGTTAGGGGCCTTGCCTGTTATGATCAATTCTTCCCCTGACACTGTTTGCCAAGACAAGCCTTTAGTGCTGCTTGCACTTCTCACCATGTTTCCCACATCTTTACTCACACTACTGGTTCCTCAACTCAATGCACTTCAATTCATCAGTAACCTTCACCTTTTTCCTTTATGCAGCACATGAGCCAAGCATCAAGAAAATATAAGCTCTCCACTTGATACCCTTTTATTTATCCATCTGGAGATCACAACAATGCTTTACCCATGACTGCAATGACAGTTCTTGCTCAGCAGCTAAGTGCCTGATACTTTTAGTCACTGTTTTACATGCTGGGGCACCCTTTGCCTCAGTTGTGGTTTAAAGTTCCTGGTCTTTATTTATTCAACTTGGCATTTGGCCACACAGAATCCCTTATTGCTTGCTGGCACTTAGCTCACACCATGATCCAGACCCCTAGACTGGTCACTCATTTTCCTCACATACCTCCCTTCCAGCCTAGAATCTCTTTGCAAAATTATCAGTAATAACTGGATATTCTGTTCCAAGTGGAGCTGCAATATGGTATCATGCTCAACAGTGGGTTTCTCCTCAGCTTTATGCTTACTTGAGACAAGCTAACACTTATTTTGGTGGTAAGCCTCACGGTTTGCCATCTTTTTTCATGCCAACCCTAACTGAAGGAGAAAGCCTACAAAACTCTACTCTGCTACCAGAACTTCAGAGACAACTTGTCAATGAATAAAACACAGAAAAGAACAAACCACCACGACGGGATTAATAATTTTATGGAATGAGAAGTTTTCTACTGACCTGGCAGTAGCAGAACTGCCTTTCAGCTTTGGCTACATTAACAGATTGAATCCTTGAACGTTTCTCTTTGTAACTTCAGTTTCAGATGTGATCAATTAATCACCCACATCACTTTCAGCACCACAAATGCTGTCAAGGTGCAAGCCCTCAGAGCAAGGCAAAAAGCCCAAGCCCAAGCAGGCTTAGCCTGCTTGCAGAGAGTTTAAGCTCCTGCTGCATCACCCTAAATTTGGGCGGGTGACAATCACAGTGGCAGTTTCTGTGTCACAGCTGACAATTAACTTGACACAGGACCAAGCCCTTGGCTTCTCTACGCTGTGCATCATCCTCGTGCTTATTTTCCAGCTCTTAAAAATTCAGTATGGAAGTGCTAATTTTCAAAATAAATATAGTAAGGCTGTTAACTCAAACTGGGTTTAAAACGATTTAAAAAAAGAAGGTCTATGCTGTCTCAATTCCAACAGAATGGTAGTAACATTAAAAAAAGAAGATATCACTAGTCTCAAAACTTACTCCAATAAAAATAAAAATCCATCTGGACTTAACAACTGTATTTCCTCTTTTGGGAATAAAATTCAGACATCACTATATTATTCTAAATAGCAAGGAGTTTAATTTATTTTAACTGCATTAACTTCATCTGCCATCAATTCTAAAGTATCTCTGTGGGGTTCTACTTCTAAAAAACTGTTGAGATTTTTATCATCATGAAGTATTGCTTTGTACTTAATGCCAAATTTAAATGTTGTTAATTTTCCTACAATATATTTTGCATTCTAACACTGAACATGAAATATTAGGACTTATCTAAGAATGGCTGAAAAGCACTGAAAGAACCAAATGAATAGCACTATTGCAGCCCACCAAAATAGTATGATGTTTCACTCCTTTAACTAAGAATGTTATCTTCCTCATATAAAAAAATTAATTTACAAGCAGAGTAAGCTCCCTTTTCCAATCCAGTCCTCCACGTAACTGTTAGTTTCACAGTTTGCACATCAAATTCACTGTGAATAACCTCTATTAGAATTAACTCCCCTTTGACCTGCACAAGTAATTGCACAAACCACAGGTTTTTATTAAAACACTGTGTTTATTTCTGGCATTAGCACTTCAAAAGGGAAGATACTATAAACCTTAAAAAAGCTGAGAAGATAATCATGTGTCACCTTTCTTCTACCCAGCCGGCTATTTATTTGCAAATACACCATGTACCGCTTTCACAAACATAAGAAGAAATGTTTCCTTGCTTCAAGCTTCAAATCTCTTCCACTCATCGCTCAGTTCAAAATCCTCTATCCAGACTTTCTAGACTTTTTTTTTTTTTTTGCTGAGACAAAGCGGCTGCTCAGTCTGTGCCCAGTGCCTTTCCCCGAGCCCCTGAGGCTGCTCTACCTTTCAAAAGGCAACCCTCAAAGGCTTCATCTTTCAAAACTTATTAAGACGACAATGTAAAACACACCCACTTACACAGGTCCTTGGTTTAGGCGCCAAGAGGTGCTCGTGTCTGAAGGAGCAGCCCCCAACTTTTCAGCTACCTATTTCCACAAAGCAGCTTAGATGTTTTTCATCCTGTTCTAACTGAAGGGCAGCCTTTATGACCAAATCATGAAATCTGGCACACAGTAACTTGCCAACATGCACAGCTTCAGGCTGCACACACCCCAGTGCCAGCCTTTTACACCTTGTTTTCATGTTAACTACAATCTTTATTCCAGTGACTACAGCAGTTCTGAAAAAAAAATAAGAAAACCCCAAGATACAGCGCAATCCAAATGTAAATCTGGATCTTGTTCAATCCATCAGAAGAAGTGAAGACAGCATAAACACTCGCTTATTTGGAAGGCTCTCAGTGCCAGGAATAATGACGGCTGAGACTTCACGAGCCAGACTGCGAAGTTGCTTTGGGTCACTTTGTCTCAACTTTGGGTTAAAGCTGCAGTAGGACCTACGCTCTGGGTCACCTTCCCTCACCCCCCACCATCCAGACAGGGCACCGCAAATCAGACCAACACAAGAATCTGCTCCATCATCCCCCAAAAACCAGAGCTGAGCAGGGTGACCTGAATGCACTCCATCCCAGCGCCTCTGCAGTGTGGAGGAGCGTTGCTTAAGTCCCTGCCTACAGGGCAGCTTGACTGCTCTGAAACAAACACAGCAGTCCCATTTCGTCCAGGAACCAGGAGATCCAACACAGACTGTGCAGAGAGACTCAGTGCTGCTCTGGGAATGAATTTAAACTCAGTTCCAACAATGCTGAACATGCCTTTGAAGGAACACAACTGGATTTTCATAGTTCTGTCTTGAAGTCAAAAAAATCCCCCAACCTGCAAATCTGAGGTGACTACATTTGCTTCTGCACTTACACCACAGCCCAGCTAAGTCATCCAGGTATGTGAACTGATCATATTTCAAGGCAAGGGATGCACTTCAACTGTTGCTGACTCCTTATCTCTGGACACACACCCCACACTTTTCACTCCAGTGTCCCCCCTTTTAGGTCCTTCCTCCTGTTTGTTTTGTTAACCATGAGCTTTCTCAGGGCCTGGATAAGTCTGTACCACACTGCCCTGTCCCCAAGACAGGCAAATCAAATCACTCATCTTGCTGCATATATTGTGCACCTCAGCTCTAGGCATTTCTGGACACCAGACAACTATTTAACTGCCTTCTATTTTCCACTACTCAGGTTTCCAAACAGAAAAATAAATGAAGATTTGGGTCTTCATAAATGAGTGATGATCCTGACTAACAAACTGCGGATTTGTAGGAGACAGAAAGAAATAAAGCCATGCTGGACAACACCTGAAGCTTCGTACTCCAAGAGGGAGAGATAGTAAGTCCCTCTGAGAAGCCACTAACTTTTTATTGCTTTTTACAGATTCTCCCTGCAAGGATTTGTAGATATTTGTCTCATCCTTTTGGAAACCAAAGAAGTTGAACCAATAACTTCTTTTATCCTTTTTTTTTTCTTTTTTTTAAAAAAAAAAAAAAAAAGGCAAGCAAAACCAGACTTCAGCAATAAAGTAACTTCCCCAGGAAAAAAAAAATAAAAAAAAAATAACATGATTGCGTGCTGCTTTGGAAGTGGTCCTGAGAAACCACAAACCATCAGTCCCATAGGAGTTATAAGAGTTTAATAATAAAGGCTTAACACAGCCTCAATACCACATACCATTACAGCAATACACTCCACAGGCCAAGCCAAACAGGGAATATGAGAATCCATCACAACATAAGGCTGTAATTTGGCACATCCTCATTCAGACGCTCGAGCTCTGAGGTCTGCGTTGCTTTCCATGCATAATCCATGTAGGTTTCTCATTCCATACCCCTGCTCTCCAGATACTCCCGTGGACTCCTACAGAACTGCAACTTGTATTTAATAATGTTTAATGTAATTTCTACCTCAATCAAGAGACCAGACATCCTGCAGAGCTCCATCAGCTGGAATGGAGATGGCAACCGCAGTAACATTAACAAATAAAATTTTGATTCAGAGTCAGAATGAAAAGGAAAAAAAAATTAGGTGCTTTATTTTTACTGCAGAATTAGAAGACTATCCATAGGACTCTGTCATTCAGTTGTTTCCCTTTTTTCTACTGAGTACTGAAAAGGACAGGATCAAACATCCCAACAGCCATCAAAATTTATTTTCTATTTCAGATCAATATTCTAGAACATGACACACACCAGAGAAGAAACACTTAATGCAGAAAACTCTTCATAACTTGCTGACACAGAAATCAGTAATAAGAAAAATTATTCTCATGTTTTATCCAGTCAGGAAATGAAGCTCACAAAAGTAGTGCCACTCTTAAAAAACATGCTACTGTCGGGATTCATGTGGCAGGAAGATCTGCCTTAGAACACCTCCTG